GAGGTGGGGGGAGGGGAGGCGCGAGGTGGGGGGAGGGGAGGCGCGAGGTGGGGGGAGGGGAGGCGCGAGGTGGGGGGAGGGGAGGCGCGAGGTGGGGGGAGGGGAGGCGCGAGGTGGGGGGAGGGGAGGCGCGAGGTGGGGGGAGGGGAGGCGCGAGGTGGGGGGAGGGGAGGCGCGAGGTGGGGGGAGGGGAGGCGCGAGGTGGGGGGAGGGGAGGCGCGAGGGGGGGGAAGGTGGAGCCGCTGCAGGGGTCGGGGCCGCCTCAATGAGGCGCAACAGCTGCCTCTCGTCGGCGTTCGACGCGGCGATGAAGGCGGAGGCGCCGGGCCAGCCCCCGAGCGCCGTCTCGACGCCGGCAGCTCTCGACGAGTACTCTTGCTTGAGCCGCACGTGCGCGCCAATCGGCCCGACCGGCGGGTGGCCGCTCGGCCACCGCGCGCGGCCGAGCTCGGCGAGCAGCTTGGGCATCGCCGGGTCGATCCGCTTGAGGTGGTCGCCCTGCGCTGACCGCGCGCGGCTGAGGTCGTCCCTCGCCGCCGCCGCCTCGCGCCGCAGCGCCTCAGCCCGCTTGCTCGTGCCGTCGGCCCGCTCCTTGGACGCGCGCGCCTGCCGCGCTGCCGCTTCGCGCGCAGCCTCGACCTCGGCCACCTCTGCGGCGGCGGCGGCCTTCGCGTCTCCGGCGGAGCGGCGCGCCGCGTCGAGCCTCGCCGCCGCCGCCGCCTTGGCGCTGTCGAGGTTCCCCCTCTTGCGCTCGTGCTGCGCCGAAACCTCATCCTGCGGCCGGTGCCGAATACAGGGCCACCGCGGTGAGAGAAAGATGTGCGTCGCGCCTCTCGGGCAGTTCAGGGCGCGCGAAGGCGCGCACCCTCCGCCGCCGCGCAGCCGCGAGCTCGCCGCGCGTCTCCCCCAGCGCGTCCTGCGCCTCGCCCGCCGCGCGCTGCGCCTTCCGGTGCTCCTGCGCGGCCGCCTTGGCCGCTGCCTGCGCTGCGTGCAGCTGCTGCAGTCGCACCTCCCGCTCGCGCGTCCGCTCCTCGGTGAGCGCGCGCAGCCGGCCGAGCTCCTCGACGGCGGACTCCTCGCGCCGCGTCGCCTCGCCCACCTGCGCCGCCGCAAGGCGAGCCCTTCAGAGGCTCGGGCTCCAACGCCCGCACACCGACCCGCTTCCCTCTGCCCGTCCCTATCCGCAATCCACAGCAGTTGGCTAAATGCCCTCCTCGCGCTGCAGTCCTCATGCATCGTGACCGTTTCGATGGACGATGCAGGGGCACTGCATTTTCTCCTTCAGATTTGCGCGCGCGGCCGGCGCTGTGGGAGGGCTGAGTGTGGGTAGGAGCCAAACTTAATCGAAATCCCATCTTTCTAGATACCGGGCACCGCCTCGGTATACAAAATGCGCCTGCGGGCGGACCCTCACAGATCAACTGCGAAATTTCTTTGCGCGCCCCGGACGCCGGCGCTGCTCGCTGGTGTGCGTGCATATACAGACACGGGCTAAGAAGTGCATATGCATGGAACTCCTA